TTATTAATATAAGTGCTACAAAACCTTATGTGGTGGTATTTGCCTATAATCCTATGCTTGAGTCTGAGAAGTAGGAGGATTGTGAATTCAGGGCCAGTCTGGGCAACATAGCAAGGGATGTCTCTTATAAGAAAAACACCTGTAAATTCAGGGAGTTTGTATTATTCTTGAAATACGCCCAGAAACATGTTTTAGTCATAGTCTTCAGTGAAGACCAAGATGAAATGACAATCAGGGAAGCTATTCATGATACTTGTGTGTGTGTGTGTGTGTGTGTGTGTGTGTGTGTGTGTGTGTATACCCATATGCATATCCTTTGTGTATACTTTTGTGTTTTATTGTTTCTTTTTTTTTTTGATCCAAAGAGAGTTCATTACAGCAAAATTAACAAGGAAAATTGATTACTTCTGGGACCCTGATATTAACCCACATACCTATGAACACCTGATTTTTGACAAAGAAGGTAAAATTCTACAATAGAATAAAGAAAGTGTCTTCAACAAATGGTGCTGGCATAACTGGATGCTGGCATGTAGAAGACTGCAGATAGATCCATGTCTATCACCATGGACAAAACTTAAGTACAAATGGATCAAAGACTTCAACATAAATCTAGCCACACTGAACTTATTTGAAGAGAAAGTGAGATGTACCCTTGAAAAAATTGGTACAGGAGACCACTTCCTGCACATAACACCAGTAGCATATACACTGAAATCCACAATTAATAATTGGGACCTTCTGAAACTAAGAAGCTGTGGGGCAAAGGACACAGTCAACAACACAAAATGGCAGCTCACAGAATGGAAAAAGACATTCACCAACCCCACATCTGACAGAGGGCTGATCTCCAAAATTTACAAAGACCTCAAGAAGCTAATTTCTAAAACACAAAATAATCCAATTAAAAAGTGGGGTACAGAACTAAATAGATAATTCTCAACAGAGGAATGTAAAATGGCTGCAAGACACATAAGAAAGTTCGGAACATCCTTAGCCATCAGGGAAATGCAAATCAAAACAACTCTGAGATACCACTTTACTACTGTCAGAATGGTGAAAGTCAAAAACACCAATGACAGTTTTCTTCCATTTCTTTTTTTTAAACTTTTTTTCTTATTCCATTTCTTTAAGAGATCTCCTCATATCCTCTTTGAAGGCCTCTGCCATTTTCATGGAGCTGTTTTTAAGGTGATTCTCTTTTGATTCACGTTCGAGATGGGATGTTCAGGTCTTGCTGGTATAGAATGCCTAGACTCTGATGGTGTCATGTAAGAAGTCTTTCTCTTGAGGGATGTGTTCTTAGACTGTCATCTTCCCATCTCTTCTTCCAGTAGGTACAGGTGGGGTATCTCCCTCTTCTATGTCTTCTAGAAGTTTGACAATTCTCTTCAATATTATGGTCTTCCCAACTGTAGCCTATGTCAATGAGGTTTCCGTCAGTGTCCAGCAAAACATCTTTGTAGACACTCTTCTTGAAAGGACCCAGCAAAGCCCACTCTTCCTGACTGAAGTTGATGTGCACATCGTCATAGGTCTCTGTACCCATTTTGTGGCTTCTGTGTTCATCCATGCTCTCCTCACAATCCCCTACAGCAACACTCACAGCACAGAAGTCAATCCTCTGGCGACTGTTCTGTTGTAAATCCAAGGCTGCAGCATGGCTCCAGGAAGTGTCCTGCAAGACTTGTGACTGGTAGGCTCGCCTAGTGTCCATGATTGGCTAGTGAGGCTTGAGTGACAGGAGCACTTCCTTAGGGGTTAGAGTGTGCTTAAAGACACAGCTCGGGGTCTCTGGCCCTGGATTCTACTCCAGATCTGAATCTTTTAAAAACTGCATGTTGTGGTTTTCCAGCTCACCTTTGCTCAAGCCATGGTCAGTTTTATTGTTTCTTTAAGATTTATTTTTTTTAATGTGTGCAAATGTTTTGTCTGTGGCTCTGAGATCACTTTGTCTCATGTCTATGAGCTGAGTATTTGTGCTACTCTCCATAGAAGTTACATATTATGTATTTAATATTACATATGTAATATATAAACATAATTTATATATTATATAAGATAAAACTAAGCTGTGGACCAGAAAATGCTTTGTATTCCAGTTGTGGAACATTATAGCTCCCATTTGCAACTCAGCTGTTTAGCAAAAATTTCATACCCCTCCTTTTTTCTTTAAAGTCCCTCCATGCAGTCCATACAGGTTTCCAACTTCTCATTCTCCTGCCTCTGCTTTCTGAGTGCTGGAATTGTGAGTATACAATACTACACCCAACTCTAGAAAATTCCATCCCTTTTCTCCAAAACCCTGCATCTGCAAATTCCAATAAACTGCTGTCCTCCCAACATCCTCATATACCAAGTGCCCCAGCGTCCTCATGTACCAATTCCTCCCAGCATCCTCAGGTACCTACTTCTCCCAACATTCTAGGGTACAAGTGTCTTGGCAGGTGAGTGTTCCTGGCCATGGTTCAGACAAGTCACCTTTGTGTCCCAACCTTTTTCTGACATTTGTGGTTTAGCATCATTTGGCTCACTTCCACCCATTCTGTCATTATCTCTTCCTGTGATTTCTCTGTTTCTTATACTTTGATTCCTCAAGTCCTTACTTTCTGTATACTTCAACATGCTCTCTCATATCCTATAATGTACATATCTCTTTGGAAAAGCCATCTTAAGTTGTGGCTCTGATGTCTTGAGGCCTTTCCAGTTTTATTTATGCTCTCCTTCTCCCCCACGCTGTACATAGAGGGCAGTAAGAGCCTTGAGGACCATTCTAAACCTTCTTTTGGGGCCCTTGACACAGTCAGTCTTGGAGTGTATCCAGTAACACTGACCTTTTCTCTGCCTCACATTCTTTTCTGTTAGTTCTTTCCTGGTTTCTTGGTTCCTTACAAAAGTCTAGACCCATGTGCTATACTCATTAGTCATGTGTTGTTTGCTGTGAATAATAGGTTGTAGATTATTAACTATTTGGCGGAGATTGGTTTGCATTCTTGTGTAACCTCATAATAACCCATGAAGTAGTTGCTGTTATCATCCCCCATGACAAAGGTGTCACACTTTGGATGTGTAATGCCACTAGTGCAGGGACACATGACTAGGTGGTAGCAGATGCAAATAGTCAAGTCTCATCTGACGTCTCAGCCACACTGTGTTGAATTCTTCATGGAGCCATGTTGATTTGCATTTTCTAGAACCTTTTTGGTTTCTCAGAACAGGAGTGGGAATCACCCATTAAACAAAATGATTAAATGTATTTAAGTACTAGATTTGTATATTCTGATTTTTCATATAAAGGTTTTCTTAAAAATTTGTAACAAGCAGGAGAACCTATGGTCTGCCAAGGGAATTGAAAGTGACTGCCTGACAACGGCAATAACAAAGTCTCCTGCCCTTGTCTTTTTGTGGTATGGCAGGAATTCCCTTGTTTCTTATTTTGTCTCTGTAGTCAATGTAGGATCTTTAAGCTTAGTCATATCTGTCATGAAAGTGATGACAGGACTTGGGCATTTTATACACTTCTTCTTTCCTTTGTTTACAGCTCAATATAGAGATTGCATGGATGGTTAGAGCTCCCTTTTCTTTTTGCACTTATCTTTATTTTATTTTCTTATTATGCATTGTTACGTCAGACATTTTCATTTCCATGCAAGTTTATTGCTTTGATTGTGCTCCTCCCACACACCCTACCGCCCTCCCTTTTCTTTGCCCTCCCCCTCTCATTAGTTGCTTTTCCTCTCTAGACAGTTTCACTTCTCCTTTTATGTCATTTGTTCATACATGATTTCATGGATATATAAAGACTAAGAGGCACAGATGAGAAATATTTCTCTTTCTGAGACTGATGAAATACTTTTAATTCTTCGGTCTTTGCACTTTCTTTGGTGGTGTGACTTTAGTGAACATACAGTGCTCTTGCCTACTTGTTTTCACTTCCCCCCTCACACACAAATCAAATTAGAATTGGAATGGGAAACAGGCCAGGGTTAAGGAGACCTGACATGGTACAGGTTGGTCCATGATGTGCAAAATTGGTTCAGCATCAAGCAGAGCAGTGAAGATGTGAGCAATGGAGCCCGTCCATCTCAGTGGTCTTGGGGTGAGCAAGGTGGAGGAGCTTCTAAGTCTCCTCTGAAGCAAGGCAACATCTACTGGCTGCTGAGACAGGAGCAGGTGGAGGGGAAGGAAAGGGCTTTACTCAATATATTCTGTTATTTGCACATGCAACTGGTTTTATTATTTGAAGAAGTCATAGATGACTTGATATTAGGGAGATGAGAAGCGTGGCCCAATGGCTGTACGATGAGGCAGGAAGTGTTTAGGTGTGGAGAATGTTGACCCTGTCATTTAGATATGGAAGACCCTCAGATGAATATGGATTATATGAATAAAATTCCCAAAGCTTAAATTAGTTTTATTTATTAGAATACTTGGTAGGGTAGATGGCCGAAATGTTACCATTTGAATTAATGAAGAACCTGAAAGCCATATACTTGTGTTTTAAAATATTCTTTTCTAAACTAAAGAAATGTATCAATGATTCACTAGTTTCACTTTTGCAAATATAATTTGTCCACATATTTAAATGCATGTAATCATACAGAATACATCTGTGGTATGAAGCAGAACAGAACAAAAACAGATCCCCTTTAGAATAGATAAAGCCATTTGCATCTAGTAGCATCCATGGATGATTTAAGTCAGTTGTGATTCCACTCATTTTCTATGTGTGTGAGACTAGCTGGGCTATCGTGACAGCTGCTATACATGTACTTTACAATTTCTAGCTACAGGGGTTTTGTTTTGGGTGTTACATAACGTGATATGAGGCAGATGCACTGTGATGTTTGAGGGTAATTTCGTCAGCAGAAGCAAGCAGACTGCCGATGTAGTTACTGTGTTCCCAGAAGGTGATTAAACAGGCTACTCGGTCCCTGGGGGAAGCAATCTCCATTTCAGTGGCTCCATTTCTTTTTTCTTAGGAGCAGAACATTTCCTTGAGCCTTTGTTAACTCAACAACATTAACCAGATAGATAGATAAACAGATAAATAGATAACCAGAGAATTTAATTTCTTTGTTTATTTTGAGACAGGGTCTCTCTACATAGCCCTGGATGTCCTGGAACTCACTGTGTAGAACAGACTGGCTTTGAACTCACAAATATTTACCTGCCTATGCCTCCTGAGTACTGGGATTAAGGGTGCATGCCCAACCTTGCCTGGCTGAGAATTGAGTTTTTTAAGCCGCACCACCAGGCATATACAATGTACATATTTTTCCTTTATAAAATAGGTGTACTGGGGGCTGGAGAGAGGTTAAGAGCACTTGCTGCTCTTGCAAAAGTCCAAGTTAAGTTTCCAGCAAGCACTTGACAGCTCACAACCATCTGTAACTCCAGTTCCAGGGTACACAGTACCCTCTTCTGACATGAAACTCTCCATGGGCATCAGACTGGCACATGGTGTACATTCATGCATGGAGGCAAAACACTCATACAAATAAAATAAATAGTCCTGAAAAAAGATTTAAAAGTGAGTAGACTAGAGGTATAGAAATGAGATATAGACACATAAGTATATGCAAATACATTATTTTATAAGAATATTTAAAAATAGTTAATAGACTCATTAATAATGTTATCTAAATATATTATTAGTATAATATTAGATAATATTATAAATAAATAGTATTAAATGATATCATGCCATTACAATATTACATAATAAATAATAAGACTTAAAAATGTATTTAACATAATCTTTAAAATGATTTTTATTTTAGCTTACGTGGCTATTTTGTCTGCATGGATGAATGTGCATGTGGAGGTCAAAATGTGGCATTGATTCACTGGAGCTCAGCTAGAGATGGTTGTTAGGTGCCGAGTGAATGCTGGGAAACAACAGTAGTATTGACCTCTGGACCATCTCTCTAGCCCCTGTTCATATTTCCTTTAGCAGATTGTTGTAACTCTGAAGATATCAATTAATCTGGCTATGAACCTGAGTGAGGTAACCCTTACCTTCTTGATCCTGCTTATTTTAATGCACGGGAGAAATCATTTTGGTGTTGATGTTATCTGACAGAACTACTTGTGTAAGACTCTCTCCGGTTCTTTGACACATACAATATGAGAATGTGTCCTCATCACACAGTGCAATATTGTGCATGGATTTGAAATATGGCATCATCTGTGTTATGGGACAAAAGGTCTGCACTACTTGTATCTAAGGCCTTATGAGCTGGTACCTGTTATACCTAGAGGGTACAGTGGCAAGCAAAGCAAACGTGATCCTTGCTGAAGTGTACTTTTCATAGAGACATTAGACTAAGCAAAACACAAATGCATTAATCATTCAAATTGCATTTACTATGGGGAAAATAGCAGGATATTATAAAAGGGACTTAGACAGGCAGTGGGTATTTTAGATAGGAGTAATGTTCAAGAATGATCTCTGGACAGAAATGGCACTTAGTGTCATATGATATTTTACCGTGGACAGCCCACATCATTAGTGTTATTTAATAATTTGGGTATAAGCCAGAATGT